TATTTACTGGCTCTCAGCAATCTTTTTCAGAGTCTTCAATACAGAGTCACATTAGTAGCTGATTGGGAGGGGCCCTGACAGGTCTTGTGGGCCAACTGGTTACTTTAATTAGGGGATGAACTTGTTTGCCAAAATCTCATTATGCTTTGCCTTCTTGCCCTTTGAGCTGCTCTGCTTCTTCTTCAGACCCCAAGTTCAAGGCTCCTGGGTTTTCTACTTGGATCTGGAGCCTTGTAGAGAACTTGAAGTTAATTTTTTGTTTCCTTGTTTTGCCCAATGCTGTCTGAAATCATTGTCCCCTCTCTCTCCTTTCCACTCTGAAGTGATGGAGGAAGACTTGAGCTTTAGAGAATCAAACTTCGCACCTGCCTGGCAGAACCTCAGGTGATGTTTCCAAGTCATGAGAATGCAGGCTTGAGTAGTAGCAGGGATCTACACATCCTCTCAATTTGTCAAAGGGAGAATAAGGGGGACAGGATTTTCTTTGGAACTTCTCTATACCACAACTCTAGTGACACCTACCTGGGGAATCAGTTAACCCTGGAGTGTTCTGGGAGGAGTAGGTAAACAACCTGATTATTATTATTTTTTTGTAAAATTCAGTGTTTAAGTCCATTTGGCTATTTATTTGGACATCTATAACAAAAATACCATAGACTAGATGGCTTATAAAAAACAGAAATTTATTTCTCACAGTTTTAGAGGTTGAGAAATCCAAAACCAAGATGCTTCCAGATTCAGTGTCTGGAGAGGGCTGCTTCCTAGTTCATGGACGGCTGCTATCTACTGTGTCCTCATAAGGTGGAAAGGGCCAGGGAGCTCTCTGGGGCTTCTTTTGTAAGGGCACTAATCCCATTTGTGAGGGCTATAGCCTCATGACCTAATCACTTTCCAAAAGCCCCACCTCCTCAAGCATCAACTGGGAGTCAGAATTTCAATGCATGGATTTTTGAGGGAAACACAAAACTCAGTCTAGAACACCCAGTAACTGCATAGAAATGGAGTCACATCCTATGCCCCATCCCTAGGAGGTTGGAGGGGGATCTGAAGGCTGATCGCAGGAACCATGCAAGGGCAGGTCATTGTGGTTAGTTGAGAGACATTTGAGAATGCATTTCATGCTGAGTCTATGGGTAAAAAATACTTCCCTATGAGCTAATTTTATTGCTGCAATGAACCTCATCTCTGTGAGTCACAAGGTCATCCGCTATTGCTGTCATGTGGCTGGGAATCAGAGAAATGTGGACTCAACAGGCCTCTAGAGGCAATTTTATATATCCCTTGCCTCGATTCCATTAAATCCAATTGATTAATAGCTAGAAATTATTGAGCGCTCATTATCTGCAAGCACCATGCTAAGAACATTACCTTAAGCATTGTCCTAATGCTCTGCTGAGTTCATTTTCATTCCAGTTTAGCAGATGGGAAAACTGAGGCCCAGAGTCCTCCAACAAATTGACAGAACTGATACTCAAATTCAGTTTTAGATTGAGCCCAGGGTTAGCCTCCTCTCCTTATGCTTTACAGCCTTCTGCAATGCACTGCAGGTCCACAGGTACCTGGAGCTCTTGGTTCCTCCATGCTACCATCAGGACCAGCTCAGTCTGGAGGTGGGCTTAACCATCCCCAAGGAGGCTTGTTTCACGTCTCCCTTGCTAATCAGTCCCAGTGTGCTGTCACCCAGAGCTAACACAGAGCGGTCCTCAAGAACTATCATACAGTGTATTTTATGCATTGTAGCAGGCACATTAAAAAACAAAACAAAAAGAAACAGGTATTACTGTAACACAGGCTGTCTGCATGAAATATTTAAATAATCACACTACAGTGGTACATCGTGCAAAAAAAATCACTCAAACTGGATAAATTCATTGACACTGACATGGTCAGTGATTTTTTTGATGTGTTTTAATACTAAAAATGACACCTCTTCCTGACATGTGTGTTATAGCATGACAGTGGGATATGACAGTTAAAGTAAAACGTCTTCCTATCAAATTTGTGCCTAATGCAAAAATGTTTCACACTGACTTAAGTTTTTAATTAAAATTAAATCAAATTAAAAATTCAGTTTCTGAGCAGCACTAGCTACATTTCAAGTGCTCAGTGGGCACCTGTAGCCAGTGGCTACCATCTCCCATAGTGCAGGTTGGGCATCTAACTGAACTTCATCATGAGAGAAATGCACTTGACATGTCCTGAGCTGAGAGAGGAGAGCTGGGCTGGAGGAGCATATACAGAGGAGGGAAGAATGAAGCTGGGATGGTATGGCCCCGTGGGGAAGAGAAACTTAACCACTGTCAGTTTTTGAAGCAGAACCACATCATGCGGATGGTGCTTTAAGGAGCTCCACCTGGAGGTACTAAAGAGAATGAGTGTTGGGGACAGGGATTGGAGGCAGAGGACCTTGTTCATGGAGACAGGGGATGATGAAGCTCTGAAGTGCAGCCAGAAAAAAGAGTGTGTCTGTGGAACATCGTGAGGAGCTGCTCTGGGCCAGTGGCTGGTGGGTGAAGGAGGCAACCCAGGGGGATGAGTTGAAGATGATGCCAGGTTTTAATCCCCTGACAGGAGAAAATGGTAATGCATAGATTAAAAGGGAAGTCAGGGGGAAGAAAGCAAGGCCAGGGGAAAAAAAGCAGCTCAGTTCGGCACAGACCAAGTTTGTAGTGATCTCTTCCATGGTCTCTCCTTACCTTTCCCCTCCTCCTCGACTGTGTTATCCTTCTCTTCCCACTTCCCTTTCCTGCTCCTTTCTTCTCTTAAAGTAAATATATTAACAGAGGACCTGTCATACCCCAGAGACTAAATCCTTAAGGGGCATTTTCCAGACCTAAGGAAGGACTTCAGAGAGGGATCTTGAGGGCTTATTCATCAAAGACAACAAAAATAGATGGAATTGGCCAGACATGGAGAGTGGAGGTCCCTGGAGGGAATGACAGTAAATACAGTTCCTGTTTGTTGACACTTAGTATGTAGCAGGCATGTGTTTCCTTGGCTAAGGAAACACAACTGGTGAGTGGCAGTACAGGATGTGACTAGGTAAAAGGTGTGGCTAAGTAAAAAGTGCCACGCCTCCCCTTGCATGCCGGTAACTTGCCTCTCCAGTCTTTCTGAAGGGCAGGCTCTTCAGCCAGTAGGCAGCTCCTGGGGGGCCTCTGGGGTTTTTCCTTCATCAAGTGGGGTTAGGGGCTGGTGTGAGAAGTAAAAGAACTGACTGCTTCCCTCCTCCCTGTGCAGGGAAAGGTGGGTGGGAAGTAGGGGGGACACCTCCTCAAATGTCTCTCCTCCATGTTCATCAAGTGATTGCTCCTGGAGATCTGTTTTTCTGTTCTAAATGCCATGTTTGATGATGTTGTTCTTATGTAGTCACTTACCTGCAAGTACATCCCAGAAAAAAAAGGTCCTCAAATGAAACAGGAGCTGGGGGAGGCAATGGAGAGAAGAGGAGCTGGGAAATACTGCACTGCCCCTATACAACAGCTCAGGGGATTTATTCTAGGCTTTCAGAGCCAAGTGAATATTGCTTATTCATGTGCAATCTAATCCTCCTCTCTGCCCAGAGGCAGAGGGCAGCAGGGTGACCTGGTCGTGGAGGGGCGAGGTGTGGATGGAGCTTTTGTCTCTGAGCATGAGGTTTGTATGGCAGATCAGGCTTTACATGCTGGGAAAGCTGGAATTGGAAGAAATTGTTACTTGCATGGTTTGTATGGATGCAGGGGGCAAAGAGGGGGAGGGAGGAAGTGTGGGGTGGGGTTGGATTGGTGATAAGCCATACGGTGTATGGCTGAAACATTTGGGGGACAGAAATTCCAGGAGCTCCTACATTATGTCCCTTTGGGAGGACAGCAGAGCCACACAGATTGATGCACACTCCAGGCAGAGAACATCTTAATAACCCACTTGGCGGGTGATGGATCATCTGAGGAGGAGCAGAGCTATGGCTTGGCCACCCCAAAGCTCCGACTCGATAACATGTGATAATTTACTCAGGGGCATGGGGAAGGAGATTTCCCAGCTGCGGCTAACCAATGCTGAAGACCTGAAAACAGCCACTTGGGACTGCTTTTATGTTCAGCTGTCGGCTTAGAAGCAAATGGCTAAGAGAATCTGGACACGGATCAAACAAATGTGCTGGGAACCACATGCAAGGAGCATATCTGCTATTATTTCCCACTGAGGGCCTGCATGCCCAGCCTGCTCCCCTCCAGCCACACAGGAGGAGAACATCAGAAGAGGGGGAGACCTCTCTGAAATATCTGATAGGGCCCACACTGCAGCTGGTCTGGGTTTGGGAACTGTTCCAGCACAGAGACATCATGGAGTGGCAGGCTGTCACCTCTGTAGGACACAGTGATTGAGCAGGAGAGAAAAAGTGGCCTTTGTTTGGACCCCATGGAAGTACAGGGGCTGGTGGCCAGATGCCTGCTCTTTCCCTGTAGGGGTCATTGGCAGTCTAGGTATAGAGAGTCTAGGTTAGAGCAGAGCCCTGTTTTCTGTGGAGAAGGGGAAATGCTCCCTTGTGGCACTGGGCAAAAGGAAAAAAAACCTCTTTCCTACCAGTATATCAGTTTTTCTTTTTCTCTACCTCCAGTCAAAGGATGACCTGAAGTAGTTTTGTTTAACTCAAATCCAAATTGGTACAAGGACCAGAATCCTGCAGTTACTCTATGAAGACGTATACTGCCACCTTCTTCAGAACAGGAGGTGTCATAAGAATAACAGAAACACCAGTGGACATGATTATCAAATGTTTTCCATACACTCAGCTCCATGCTAACTGCTTCAGGCACGGTAGTCACATTTATTCCTCCAGTGGTCCAGGCTGTAGTCCTCCAGTGACCTCACAAACAGTCATAAACCCATTCTCAGGATCAAAGAGTCTTGGAACTCTTACCCAAAATAAATCTAGGTAACTTCTGAGCAGGTGTGTGTTACTTTGAATTGGATCCAGGTAAATTATTAATTTACTGCTGCCTTTATTGTCTGGTTCATGGCAGGTGAGGAAGAAAAACAGCAAAGGACCAGCCCCCAGCTTAGCCATGCGCCTGGGCAGAGCACATGGGGGCTGAGTACGCCCTGCTCAGTCCAGCTCACTCTGCCCATTTGCGACCAGGAGACCAAACCAGGCACCTGCAACAACAGCCCCCGCCCCCAACCCTGCCTCTTGGCTCTACAGCTACTTGGATCCACACTACAGAGGCACAGTGGAGCATAAAGGCCATTGTCCTGAGCTGCAGAAGTGAACAACAGAGAGAGGGCCTCTCTCAGGCTCCTGATGAAAACTGAAGCCCATTGGAAAAGTGAAGAGAATCTCTGCAGTAAAGGCACACCAGACTACCGTGCTTGGTAAGTTGGAGGGATCATCACTGCCCATCAGAACCTGGACTATCTTCATGGGAAAGGCAGCTGGAACTTACAGTAGAATCTGGCAGAGTTCAACCCTGCAGGAGGTCAGGGAGCTCAACTTGGGACTTGCAGCCAGAAATCTGCCTGAATCTCACAATTCTGTTACTGGCTTACTGAGACTCATGGACTTATAACTGCACACTGTGGCCCATGTTGTCTATTGTGACAGCAGAGAAAAACCCTGAAGGGGCCCTTCATTTTTATCTTTTATTTGTTA